TAGTTGGGATGTTCTCTGAATTATATAATTCACCATATTCTTACTAATGAAAAGTTTAGATGACAGAATACATTATGCAATAGTTCAAGGTTTTGCCTGCTATCCTTTATTCCTTCACACATAGAATATGTACTTTATTATGTTAATCAAAATGCTACATAAGTCTATTTTTTCTGAGTAATGTATTGCAATTCAATTTTGTTTCAATAGAACACTGCAAGCAATTACATCTACTTCCTCCACAGAAAGTCATCCCTCTGTCTCTTCCTTTCCCTTTCTTATCTTTTTAAATGTTGCATTGACTTCTGGTATGTGAGCTGTTGAAATCATGCAGACTTACTAAGATCTTCATTTACAAATAGAAACTAAAGCAGAGAACTTCTGACTTTCTAAATCCTTGATTTTTAAATTACATTTTCATATGTGTAGAAATAGTTCAGTAACACCATTTTAGGTAATCCTTTAGTTCAACCTTTGTCTTTCCAGTCTAAACATTTTTTTTTAAATATATCCAAAGTTTATCTGGACTTTTTCAATATGATATGTGTCAAGGAATCAGCATAAATGATAAAAGCAGGAAGGGAAAGTCTGCATCAGTGAGTATTTATATTGGCAAGAGCTGACAATTTTATAAAAGAAAAACAAACACTGAAGCTGTTCATTTCTGAAATGAAATCAACTTCATTTCTCTCAGGAAAACATCATCACATGAAATGATATAAATCAGTATTGATATCAGTAAGCTTCAAACCAGAAGAGACAAATGCACTCTGCAGCACAGTAATTCAATGGCTCCGAGTCAAGTTTACTGTTGTCTCGTTTCTACTAATCATTGTAAAAATTCCCTGTGAAATAATTATCCCTAAAACAATCAAGACAGTATATCTCTATAAAGGAGAGGATCGATTTAACAACAAACTCTAGATTTATCTGTATTGATTAGAGGGCATTCAGTGTAATTTTAGTGAATTATGTTTGGCTTTCATTTCCCAGTAGAAATTTTTCTTGTGATGATCAAAAGGTAAATTACAAACTACTACATGGTCTTTTGTGTGCCACTTACATAACATCCAACTATTACTTTTCAAAGAAACATTGATGTAAGAAAGGAAAAAAGTATTGGGGATTTTTATACAGGATATCTTACTATAAAAATCATATGACTGAGTTTATAGCACTTACCTAAGAGCCTGATGTCATCTTCTCAATTCATTAATACAGAAATCAGGACTGCACTAAAGAGTCTGTGCTAAAGGAACAAATCCAAGATCATCTTATGAGAATAGAATTAGAAAGATTAAGAAAGTAATATGATTTTTCTTCTTAAATAGGAGTAATTTCAAAGCAGCAGTTAACACTTTCATGTCTGAAACTTCCTTACTGGTACAAGGGAGAAATAAAGGAATCAGACAGATTCAAAGACAATTTAATGTAGCTGTAAGTCTGATACTGCTGCTCAATTTAATTAAGTACTAATTAGAACTAAAAGGTTAGTTATTTTGTCAACTGCACATGTGTTGGTTCCAGTCATTTTTAATCCAATGTAATAAAGATAAAGAGTCTAACTTTGTTTAGTAATAACATTATGCCAGAAGGATCACCTAGTCATTTCATGTTACCCAATACATTGCTAATATAAATAATGTTTAATTACAGTGGCTTCTTACTCCCATGAAATGGCCAATTAGAACATTTGCTGATTCTACATGTTAACTGTTAGAGACATTTCTACAGGCTTTCTGTGGGTTGTATTCATAAATTCTACCCAAGCTGGTAGGAAGCATAAGAGCATAATGAGAGGAAAAAGTTTTCAAGCAGCACAACGGACATTTAAATTCTGAAACAGAGTTTCCATGCAAAAATATATCAAATTGAAATATAATTTTTAGTATTCACTAGGAGTATGTAATATTGCACATTTATATGCTATTCTTGCTGAATCCAGCAGATCATACAGTGTATTCAAGATTCACATGATAAAGAAGGCATGTGTTAGCATTTTATTATTTAGACCAACAAATAGAGAGTGATATGAATTCACTTACAAAGCTGATTTATTGTTTATAATCTATACCTGGTGTGAATCATGCCAGAGTAGTCTCTTATTTATTTTTGTTACTTTACTGATAAGTCAATAACTATCCCCTGAAATATTAGTGCAGCATGTACTAATGTTTTGTAAAGTGGCAAAATTTAGCAATATTGACAGCATGTGTAAACTCAAATTCAAATCAAAACAGAAAAATACAATAAATGAGAACAAACTCTTCCTTGTCTAAAGAAAAATTGCTGACACTGTGAAAATTGCTTTAATGATTGAATTATTATCCATTGAGTAATCACCCTGAAAATTTTGCTAGTTATGTTAAAGTAAATAACAGTACATGAGTGTGTGCATTGCCAAATCTAATTAATGCAAAGTATTAGAAATATTGGAAACAATGAGACACAGTTATCTAGACAACTTATATAAAGGAAATTAATTCACAAGGATTGCAATCAATGCATATATCACAGCCAAATAAAAACAGGATACTAAAAAAGTATCTGGAAGTATTGGTGTTATCAATTGCTCTGCAGGTATCTAAAATGCCTGGCTGCCACACATGTCAGTGCAAAGACTCAATCCTTCTCTAACTTCAGTGAGTTCAAAAGTTGCCACTCAGGTGAGTGTGATAGTGTCAGGTGCTTTTCTTATTCTTCTCAGGCAATGCCCTAAATAATATTAATCTACTTACATTAATTTTTTTTTCCTTTGAATAAAAGGCAGCATGATAATCTGCATGTCTGACCACTATAATTTAAGATGATTAAAATGTAGCTTAAAACCCACATCATGTAAATAATTACAATTTGGTAAAATATAAAACAAAAAATTAACAAGTCTTCTCTAAAATTAATTGGTGGACACTGAATGTGTGCTACATTGTCTTGTGCAAGTTATTTTAAAATGAAATATATTATAAACTTTTTCTTATTACAATTAGATTAATAAAAGAAAGTAATTAAGACTCCTACTATTTTTTTTTCTAGAAGAAAAGAAGAGCTAGAAATTATTAAACTATCCAGAAAGGAATCAAAGCTTTTATATAGAAAACAATTCCTTGAGCTTAATTTCAATAAATCAATAAGATGGTTATTTTTCAATAGGCAATAATTGTCTTTATATAAACTGAAAATATTGTTTGGGATGATTAATATACAATGCCACATAATGCATTTGGGAGTTTCAATGCATAATTCTTAGTTCTAATGTTATTATGTAATTGAGAGAACATGTTCATTTGCCCTAATAACTACTAAGATGCACTTAATAAAATGAAATGTAATAATACTTGTAATTTAATCTATTCATGGAAGTAATTTTAAAAGTCTAGCATTCTCCTTAATGTGGATAACATTCATAATTTATAAAGTGTTGTGATGCAGAATTGACAATGCCATTGTTTTTTACACTTTGAGATGAATCTGCAGGCTTCATTATCTGCATACCAACCTCAGGATTATCAAGGGCAAACAAAAGATAATTAACACCAGAAACTGGCAAATGCAGGAGATACTGAGTGAGGTTTTTCATTTAATGTAGAACCTTTGAAAACTGGGAAATGGAATAACAGTTCAAAATCTTTTTTTTTTTTCCTTTGCAGAAAATTATTCTAGTATGTTTTCTTTCCTACATTTTGAATATCATGTTTTTTGCTATAAAATTATATTGGTATGTTCAGCCTTAGATGCATTCAGTAAATGAATGTGTTCAGACAGGTATTTTTTCCAAAGTACTAAGTGTTCATTTTCTGCAGTTTTTTTTTCATCTAGAACAGTAGATAGGTAATTATGGTATACATTTTAAAATTCTATAGTTTCACTTCCCCACAGCAAATCTGTAAATAAATCACTTAACTTCTCCTCCCTTATTGTGTCATTCTCTAAGGATGAAAACTTCTACTACACAAATTTGATTAATGAATAAGATATATTTTTATGTTAATGGCTTGTAGGAAAAAGTATGTGAGACTGCCTTGGGCATTTTTATATGTACTCACAGCAGAACAAAAAAGGTTTACTAAATGCTGATATAGATCGGAGAGAGAATATTTCAATCCATAAGAATCACTGACATGTTTCTTTTTAGTTTTTTGAACAAGAAGTCCTGACTATGTTTCTGCATTGCACTCAAAAATATTTGCCATGTAACTAATAATTTCAGAAATTAACCATTGAAGATCCTCCACAAAGAGAATCTTTTGAATGTAAGGCAAAGAAACATTATATGGTTAGACTCTAATCTGTGAATGAACACACGTCTACAAAAGGTCCAGGAAAAGTCATTTTACAAATGGAAATGCAGGACAATGATGTTCATAGTTTTACACAACTTACAGATGTTGATGACAGTCTAACTCCCCATTTGTTACTTATATAACGAGATCTTATTACAGGGGGATGTGGTTATTAACCTAGGAGCTATCCATGCAAGATTCAAATATTTCTGTTTAAAGACCTTGATGTATTACCATTCCTTCACTTTTTACAATTCAGAACTGGAAATGCCTTTTAAGTAACCAATGCAAAATGAAGTACAATCAGTAGGAGCTTGTTTTCCACCCAGCACAGTGGGCTGAGAGCGCTCTATACGGGATAATGGTTACACTCTAACATTCAAGCTGGAGGATAAATTGTTGAGTCATGTTGTCTTCCAGAAGGTCTGATGTCAGTTATAATTAAGGTTCCTTCATTATCAGGGCTGTCCCTTATTCCTACTTACAAAACCCTTTTCCTCTTTGTCCTGATGTATCCTGGTCAGTGAAAGGCACCAGAAGGCACATGGGACAGGAAAAGTCATATGAGCACACTGGTTCCCCAGAGACGGGGAGAGGCTGAGGCTGAGGCCAAGGGTTTTCTCTACATCATTGGATAACCAGACAAGTATTAAAGTGCCTGAAATCCCACAGCAACTGTGTGGTTGATGATCAGTTCAAACTAATGAACGGTGCGCCCTTGAGATCAGCAGGGCATGTGCTGACACACCCTGGGGTGTGTCAAGCACACCCTTCTTAAGTGGTGGAGAGACTGTCTCACTCAACCCAGCCTCACCTCAAGTGCTCTGCACTGCTTTGGACAGCATAATACATTATAATGTGCCCAAAGAAGGGCAAAAAAAGACGCCAAAGGGACTAGAGGGCATGACTTATGAGGAGCAGGTGAGGATATTTTGTTTATTCCGTTCAGAGAAGAGGAGAGTGCAGAGTGATCCCATTGCTGTCTACAACCTCCTCTTGAGGAGGAGCAGAAAGGGAGGAATTGATCTCCTTTTCTGGGGTCCAGAGATGGAATGCATTAAAGATACATAAGGGAAAATTTAGAGTGGATGTTATGAAAAAGTTCTTCACTGAGAGAGTGGTCGAAGACTGGAACAAGATCTTGAAGGGCTTGGTCATGGTCTGAAGGCTCCAATTGGTGTTCAAAAAATGTTTGAATGATGCTCAGCTTCATAGTTTATATTTTTTATGTTTTAACTTCTAGGTTGCCCTATAAGGAGGCAGGAGTTGGAAGCAATGATCCTCATGGGTGCCTCCCAACTCAGGATAGTCTAGGAATCTATGATTCTGTGTACTGGGACTCTCAGGCACTGAGCTGTCATTCTTTGACTAGTTAACATTCTAGTTTCTAGATACTTCTGAAAAATAGAGCTCCAAACTTTTCCCATGCTCAATGGGAAGCTTTTAAATGTAAAAAAAATAAAGAAACAAGATGCTAAAACTCCTAAGTGCTATGGTTATCTATATTTTTTAAATTAAAATTCATTTTTTAGGACATTTGGTTTAGTTCTGCAAATATTTCTATAATAGGTTTTTAACTCAAGGTCTTTAAATTAAATATACCATGGCTGGAAAAGAGACCATGTCCCTTTGAACTAATAGAGAATATTAGTTCACTCACATCAATTTATTTATCTAAAAGCCCTCATCCTTTCATTGAATTCATCTTCTATTTAACTCCTTCTGAAGGAAAAAGAGGTATATCCTCTACTATCTGGAGATTACTGTAAATACATTTTATGGAGTATGATACCATTTTTAATTACACACAGGAAAACACAATCAATGTAGGTGCAGCTTGATTACCAGGTGACACTAAAAAACACACCATGCCAAATGGGGTAGTGGGCAGTAGTGGGATCTGTTGCAATCACTGCTCCCCATGAGCCCACCCCAGCTCCCTGAAGCAGGAGAGCCATTTTCTGTTCAT